AGAACTCTGGTCATGAAGGGGAAGGAATGTCTTGGTCTGGGGGTAGAGGAGAGAGAGGTTCTCATCTTTCACCCTAGACATGGTGTTGACCGGACATAAAATTCATCTGCTCTTGTGGTTAGCCTTGTTGTACTAATAACCTTTGGTTATATTACAAGACTGTGTTGAAGGCAGAGACTTTTAAGGTTATGAATTAGAGCCAATGGTTGAGATTGTCTCTCTGAGCAAGTCCGTGAGTTTGGAAGTGAATGATGATAATGATGTTGAAGAGTTAGGGGAGAATCACAAGATCAAGCTTACCACTGAAGAACTTGAACATCTTCACAAGATGCAACAACAAGAAGGAACAGAAGAAATTTCTTTTTCAGAGGAGAAGAGAACTAAGGAAATCATTTCCACTGCAGAAATTATGGAACTCTGTTTCCATTGGTCTAAAACACAGACCATTATTGAAAAATGGCACTTTCATAAAGCAGTGGTGAATAGAAGCATTGATTTGCTCAATTATGATGTGGTGGATTAAGAAGATCCAAAATAGTTGCCAATGCCACACAACATTGGTTCTTTTCCACAGAAAGGAAGTTCATTGGATCCCAACCTTCTGTTAGTGGTGCCACTAAAGGCTGTGACACTAGGTGATTTTTGTGGGAGACATGTTGCTGGGTAACAGAAAAACCTGTTTCTCTTCAAAGTTAAAGTGGTTTGACTCCCTGACAAGGGAGTCAAACCACTTTAACTTTGGAAGACAAAAAGTCTTTCTATCGCTTGCTGCAGTCAATGAATGAGCGTAGATTTATCATGTGAGTACAGCTCTTTTTCACAACACAAAAATAAAAATGGAGGATAGTTGCTAGTCAACAGTTGACAGGACAATGTTTAATTTAATTAATTCAATTTTAAGAACCAATTTACAGTATAACCACACTATTAAAGAGTATCACAATAAAGTACTGAAAGATACATGCTTTCATGCCATTAGTTAAAATTTATGATTTCCAGGTAGAAATTTGATTGTATGACTCCGGAAACTTGTCTTCTCATGTGTCCAAATGTTGACATGTCAACAGGTTTTTGTCACTTGGAGACATGTTTCCCGGGTGAGAAATTGCCTAGTGTATCACAGCCTGAAGAGAAGGTGACAACACCATAAGGACAACTACCTGCTGCCTTTATTGAAGATGACCCATCTTCCAAGTAATAACCTCTCTTCCTCTCCAGCTTCCAATTGGGCCATTAGCATTTTTCATTAAAGTAAAAGTTACAATACAGTATTTTCATTTTATTGAATTATTTATTTTTCTCATAGTTTTTAATGTATTACAGTAGAACCTCGAAAACTCGGCCTAATGTGGATCGAAGGGTGGCCGAGTTTGTGAAAATGCCGGGTTATCGGGAATGGGGTTTAAAAAAATAAGTATGAGTGTTTCCTCAGAAAATACTGTACTGTACTTGTATGTATTGTTTACTTGAGAATATAACAGAGAATAAACTGCCCAAATACCCTTAAACAAAGGAAAAGTATGTCCTTTATGAAGGCATAGAGCCTTTACTACATGAAAATGAAAATTAATGAATACACTGTGTACAGTAATTTACCTGATAAGACAGACCTCAGAAAAATACTTTATGAGAGCTTTTATACTTTTATAAAGCTGTCTATAATGAAAATTAATTAACTAAGGATTTTTTGCCCTGCCAGGGTGTGGCCGAGTTATCTGGAGTGCCGGGTTATCGAGAGCCGAGTTTTCGAGGTTCTACTGTATTATTATGTCGAGTGTAGTGGGTTATACTTGGTTGACACTGGTGGCTGTGTACTATGCTGGATTATAGTCAAGGCATAGTAACCAAAACAAGACAAAAATTAAATATGTGAGTAACCAGGGGTAAGGTCGAGGTCTAACCTCTTTACTGGCAACAGTTAGGTAATAACTGCTCACAGGGTCAGTGGATGGCATGTTCCTTCTTTGCGTGTTTCCCGCGGTTACGGATCAGCTTGTCAGGCTGAGTGGGAGGGTGAGAGGGGTCATCAGTAAAACGTAGGCGATACTCTAGTAATGGACGTCATAAGTAATTAAGAAAAATCAAAATTTTAATGAATAACTAAATTTAACAACTAAGAACAAAACAGTTACATGATTTCCAGAGACAACAGTTAACAATCAAGCACTTATCCAGGATCAAGAGGGTATTTGAACCATCCTAGTTTACCGATAACAGTTTGCCACGCTGAGAGAGAGAGATTATAAAAGTTTGAGAACTATCCTACCTCTTCTAATGACTTTGAGAATCGAGCGAGTTTTGGTGAGCGAACCGATGTTGGAGAACTTTTGAGGAGAATCTGCACAACCTAAAGGATTTCTAGGAGACGAGCGCAGCTTGGAGATGTTGGTTTGGGGGTCACAGAGTAAAAATAATTTCAGAGAGATGACCATGCCAAAGTGGGGGTGTATCAGCCTTATATTCATTTTGGCCTGGGAAAATGATCATGTGATTGAGTGTTGTCAAAGACGAAGGTTGAATTTGCAGGTGTTGGGTCAGAGGTGATCCAGGGAGACAAAGAGAAGGTGTCGAAATTGGACATAGAATATAATCTTTGGTTCGTGCAACATTAGATTCATACTGTTTATATGGGTGAATGTTGATATTCTCATTCTCATCTCTTTAACTGTAAATTGTTATCCTTTCTTAGCAGTTGTTGATGAGGAAGACAACATTCAATACTTTTTTCCCTGCATTGTTTTCTTAATGATCATGAAGGGAAATTAGGCTCAAAATTTTCATAAAATACAGCAAAATCAAGGGCTCGGTCTCACAAGTAAGTGTGTCAGTATGTGTGTCTATATTCAGGAATTCTTTAACAATATGATATGTATTGAATATAGTGGCCTACTTTAGTGTGATGTATGTGTTTCTATTCAACTGTAATGTTTCCACGCTTTTGTGTAGTGTGTGGGTATGACACCTGTAGAAGAGAGAATGACAGGTACAAAAAGCACCCTATCCATCCTCCACAGATTCCTTACTTCCTGGGCAAGTTCTGTGTACTTGCTGATTTTTTCAATCATGTATTTTGTATATTGTGAGTGCTTGGAAAGGATATGTCTATAATGTATGTGATTTTATTGTGTTTGTCAATGAGTGTGATGTCTGGTCTGTTGTGATAAATTGTTTTATTCGTGATTATAGCTCTTTCATAGTATATTTTGTGCATGTTGTTTTCCAATACTGTCTTTGAGATTTATTTGTAGTATGGTTTCTGGATGTCTAATAATCTGTGTTTCTTTGCAAGCTCTTAGTGTATTATATTTGCTACTTGATTATGTCTCTAAATAATCTGTCTGTGCCAAGAGCTTGCAACCAGAAGTGATGTGTTGTATAATTTATGGCATGATGTCACATTTTCTGCATGTGTCATTTGTGAGTGTTGTAAGTATGATAAACTTGATCATTTCTGATGTACATTTCATCCATTGGCATGGTTTTCCAGCCTTTGTGGTCTGTGGATGCATTGCCACAGAAACACCAGAGCTAGGTTGTTTCCTCAAACTGTTGAAGGCATTGTAGTAGCCATGCTTGGGCTGGTGCTGCTTTTACCATCGGTAGCCAAGGGAGACTGTGGCCTATTTTTTGAATGTGAGCCTTTGCCTAACCCACAAATGTGGCCCTTGTTAATGTTAATTTTTTATTTTTACTGTTTTATGTATTAATTAGTGCATTTACTTGTGTTATTTTAGCTTATATTATGACTTTTTAAAATTAAAACATGCATTTTTGGGGTTTGGGAATGAATTAATTCACTCTACATTATACAGTCGACCCCCTATAACACTGTTGATTATTCCGTTTTATATGAATTCCATGTTGTACGAGTCACTTAGATTTTACAAATATGTGAGCCGTTCACAGCCCGGCACATGTATTTGTAAAATCTAAGTGACTCACACAACATGGAATTCATATAAAACGGAATAATCAACAGTGTTATAGGGGGTCGACTGTACCTTATTGGAAAAATTGTTTTGGAACTTGAACTTTCTGGAACTCAAACTCCCTCTAGGATCAAATTGAATTTCAGTTCTGAGGTACCACAGTACTGCCATTATACAATATACATATATTGTATGTATGTATGCATGTATGTATGTATGTATAAAATTTGCAATATTTAATTATAATTTATTTCCAGAAATATGAGTTATAGTAAAATAGTAATACAGTCTTAGGTTAAACAAAAAATATAATTTGATGTGAATTTTAAATTTTCATATAAAAATTCTTAAATAACAGCAGTAGTTTATTTTGAACAAACCTATTGTAATGATGGCATCTTTAGTTTCAGCTTATTAGCAAAATGAAGGAAAGTAACACTGTTGTGTATAAACAAAACAAAGCATTTCACAATCAAATTATGCTGTCATTTTAAATGTATATAATTACAGTAGAGCATCGATTATCCGACCCCCAATTAACCGTCACCTTGGTTAACCGATTGCGTTCTAGTCGGCAAATTCAAATGTCCGCTAGTGATGTGGCGCTACAATATTTGGCTATGTCTTGGCTACTTTAATATTATTTTTGTTAAATTTTTGCGTGTTTTAGCTGGCAACACTTGGCTCGACCATGAAAGGGAGGCTAGTATTTAAATGAGGCTTAATTTTTTAATTATGAGTGGTGGTTTGTTTTGTGAGCAATAAAATAATTTTTAAGGATACAATAGCGACGATTATTATTTTAAAAAAATTTGTTAGGTTTAACATCGATGAAAATTCAACTCGAAGTAGGTTAATAGCGATATACTAATATACTAATTACGTGGGATATAATAATATACTACACTAATAATGGATTTTTTTCATACTTTTCAGTTATCCGACTTTTCAATTATCCGACCAACCCCAGTCCCCAATTGAGTCGGATAATCGATGCTTTACTGTATTTTTAGTTGTTAAAATTTACCTTATAGTGATGAAAAGAACAATGAATTTATAGGTTATTAAGATGACAATTATTATATTTCATATTTTATTCTAAAGTTCTCTTAATATTGAAATTTTTATTACTACAACTTATTTCTTCTTCTTTATAGCAAGCAATGTAAGCAACGTCTTGTATCCCAAGAAAGAAATTGTAATAATATGAAATGTAATATGGGAAATGGAACAGAATTAACTATAAATGAAGAAATATTTGATATTAATATATGGCTATCAGATTATTCTGGTACTTTGAAAAAATGTTTTCTAAATGATGAAATAGCTCAAAAACTCTTGAACTGTACTGTATGTAAATTTTTATTAATCAAATTTATTCAGTAACTTTTAAAATTATTTTTAATGCATATTCTAATTTTTAAATTCTCAGGTGGAAGAGTATTCATATTTATCTGAAACTGAAAAAACTAATATGAAATGGAAATTCTTACTGGAATGGTGTAAAATTTACTTTAAGGTTTGTTTCTTATTATAAAAATGAAAATACAAATGAACAAAGCAATATAATTATAAAGTTTTGTTTTTTATGCTGACTTATTTTATAAATTAATTCCAAAATATTATTGTAAGAAATTTAAAAAAATTATTACTGTTAGAAAAGAAATTTCAGAAATGTGTTTATGATCAAAACATATTCTTTATATCATCATATTCATTTGATAAAATTGAAATTTTCTTTCTGTCCTAGTGTTAGTCCCGGTGCAGTGCAGGGTCCACTTTTTGGCATGCCAATCTCCACTTCTTTCAATCCAAGGCATCACCCAGGGCAACACCCACTAGCCATATATCTTCTCTTATGCAGGAACTATTCTATTCTCAGCACCGGGATGAAAATAATGTCACACTATCGGAACCTGTGACCGGTGCTCTATGCGTATACGTTAAATATCGCTTGACAAACGTTTTCGAGCATTCTATTCGCTCTTCTTCAGGTCAACAGGAGTTGACCTGAAGAAGAGCGAATAGAACGCTCGAAAAAATTTATAAAAAGTTTTACTTAAAAATAAGTATTGTCTGATTGTCTTCAGCTTCTCTGGGACAGCAAGGTAAAGGTTTCAGTTCCTCTTGGTGACATCATAATTAACTGCCACTCTAACTCACTTACATATGCACAAACTAATACAATTATTTTTTTCTTCTCAATCTTTCAGTTATAATAATAGTCTTTCCAAAAGGGAAAGGTTCTGATTTTAAAATCAGTAACAAAAAAATTAAGAGCTAATTCTTTAACTCCACCCAGAAAACACTTAATCTGAGATGCCATTGATAGATTGGTGACATTGGCTATATGGGTGACAGTCATGTTAACAGTAAGATTTTCAACATTAGTTTTGAATTTTATATAGGGAAGGTGTGAGTTTGTCCTTTAAACAAAATAAAACATCTCTAAAATAAATAGTAACAATAATTAAATAAAAACTCCAAAAATAAAAATGATATTTGGACTTGACTTCTTACAAATTAACACATTAATTAAGTTTATTAATTTGAAATTTATAAAAAGTTTTACTTAAAAATAAGTATTGAATTTATCTAGTTAATCATGATGATTCTAATTCTAAGAAGAGCGTAATTGAATATCAATATATGATGTTTGATGATAATGCTTTCTGTTCAAAATTTATCTTTTTGTTTTCAAATGTCTTTTGGCTTCATATTTTTAACATGTGTTGAAAGCAGTATTTGCAATCCTCATTTGTGTGTATTATTATTATTTTTTTAATGATTTTTTTAAATTAAAAATTTTTATAATAAGAGAATGTTATTTATAGGAAAGTAGAGTGAATTGATATTTTATTTTAGTTTATGTTCACAACAGTATATGAATACTATATATATTTCTTTTTACATGGTAAATATATTAATTTTTTGACAGTCATTTAAAATTTATAGAAGGAATTCTTCATAATTTCATAATGCAAAACAATGGCTATTAGATTTTATTTCAGCTCAAACAAATTCAAACCATTTAGTATATATTTCATGGTTAAATTCTTCAATAAACTTCACATTTACATTTTCAATAAATTAATCATGGTATCATTTCTTCTGTTCCAACATTAATTATCCTTGGCAATTTAAACTTTGTGTGTCAGTTAAATTATCAAAAATAAATGTTTATTTACTCAAAGTGGTACACATTGGTAGAGAAGCTTCATTCTATATACCAAAAGTAATGTTTCTCATAAAAATGTAGTAAAACTATAGAATTATTTTCATGGAATTTTTCATCATAAATACAGCATGATGACTGATTGATAAAGTGATATGATACATAATATTGTGAATATGTTAAGTATTGAACTGGTGAAATTCTAAAAAGTTATTTTAGTTTTTTTGTTTTTATCATTTCTTTGAAAAAGCATTTATGTTGGATGATATATTTCATTTAATAAATTGGAAATATAAATAATAATTTTATACAATAAATTAATTGTTATTTGACAATTCCTTGTCACATTTCAAGTCATGAAGTACTGTATAGAGAAAATATGAAATTCACAAGGAAAATAAATATCACTGAATTTCATTCTGAATAATATAATTATAATAGTTTAATAAAGTAAAAACTTTATTAAAGTTTATTATAATTTTTATGATAATATATTTTAAATTTATTATATTATATTTTATGACAATATATATAATTTTCAGATAGTGGCATCATCATCTGGAAATCCATCATTTTACATCATTTCATGCCAAATTTCAAATGTTGATGAATTTGTTAAACACACAATTTAAACTGCTGTTATTTATTTATTTTTATAAAAAGTTTTAAAAATTTCTACATATATATTTCTTAAATGTAGAAATAAAATTGATTTTATAAGCAGTTTAAATTATAATATTAATGTCATACAAAGGAAATACAGATATGGTGATAAAAGGATTTAGTCACAAATGAAAAGTGAAGATAGGAAACGATTTTAAACATAAAATTTTCCTATCATAATAACAACCAGAGATGAAAGAAGGGCATATATCTTTCTTGTTATGATCATTCTGTTTTTTTCTTGATAAAATAACCATAAGTGAAATTTAGAATATTTAAACTGAACAGATTTTGTTCTGACTTTATTTTTGTTATTTTAATACTGTTACCATTGTTTTTAACTGCTTCAAAGTTTCTATTTGTATTATAATTATTCTTAAAATAAAAGATTTTTATTGTACTATGAGTGTTTTGAAGTTTTATATCAAATACCTATATGATGAATGTTCTTTATTTCTTGTATTAAATATATATATATTTTGTCTTATTAAGTTTTTCTGGACAATGATAACGATTGCTATATTTTATAAATATTTAAAAATACATATTGGTTTTTAAAGTTTAAGTAAGATGACAAAAATCTTATAGATCCCCTACAAACAGCAAACATATTTCACAATTGTAATTAAATGATAATGCTGATTCAATTTGTTCCATGGAAATAAATTTTCTGTTACAAATATTATATTATTAAAACAGAATAAATAATAATTTTGATACAGTAGAATCCCAATTATCCAAGGTAATGGGGACCAGTGCTATCTCAGATAACTGAAAAACACAGATTAAATGGACAGCCATGACCATTTTGGACTTAAAAGTAAAAATATAATTGATTTATATGGTATATTCCTTTTAAGTCTTTTTCTATATCTTATTGAATTTAATCATACATAAGTAGGGTTGCCAGATTTTTGAATATCATAACTGAGACAAAAGGAGGTCTGCGTAGCTCACTTTCCCACTCTGGAAAATCCAAGAAAAATTAGTTTAAAAAGCCTATTTTAAAGGTATTTTCAACCATAATAAAAATTATTTGAGGGTTTCCTGGCTTTCCCAATGCACAATATAATGAACAGCAGCTTTAAAGAACTAGTTATCACACTGAACAAACTAAAGTTTTATTAATATAATAATAACTGCAATAGTTAGGTTTAGTTTAATAATTAATTAATTAATAGCAAAACAAATGCAATTTCCAGGATTTTTTCCCTAGTTTACCAGGATATTCGACTATCCCATAACCTTTTCTTGTGACACAGAGATTTCAGGCCCCAAATCAGGACAATCCCAGAAAACCAGGATGTATGACAACTCTATATATAAGAACAACAATTTTTATGTAATTTATTATACAGTTAATGTGTACAATAGTTTTAAGAATAATGTGTTGTTGTAATTAAATTTTAATATAAATGGTTTATCTCACATTCAAGCTAAATGATAAAATATAACAGAAACAAATAATTTTGTAATACATTATTGTTTTAAACTTTCTTTTACAAACCACTGTATATTATAAGAAAAGTGAAGAATCTAATGACTTGTATCATCTTTGTTTTATCATCTGAATCTAGCATTAGTGATATCACTTTACAGTTCCTAAGTACATTATATATTTTGTGGTTAAATTCTTCAATAAACTTCACATTTACATTTACAATAAATTAATGGGGTGATCGATTAACGAACATAATTTGTTCCAAGACCATGTTCACTATCCGAATTGTTCGTTAACCAATTATCAATTTACCATAGATTTTTGTGGGAATTTGATTAATTCATTCTGAAGACCCCAAAAAATAAATAAATAAATTATATATTTCCTTACTATGATTATTTATATGTAATAAAGAACTAAAAGCAACCTCTTCATTTTTGCATGGATGGCACATCTTTGTTTCTCAGATGTGACTTTTGTTACTCTTTTATCTGCTTGAGTCTTTTTGATTATAACTTTCTTAGCTAATATTGTATCTACTGTAGACCTGTTGAAGTCATCTGCCTACAATATCAGACATCATCTGCCCACTCTCTTTCTTGGCTATTATCTCTTGCTTGGTTTCTACAGTGAGAACAGTTCTTGACTCTCCACTCTTTTTAGGCCCCATAATAATATCAGTTTTTTAAACAAAAAGTTCAGAAAAGCACTTAAAAAATTCAGAGAACAGAAATTAACTAGTGCAAAAAAGGTTATGTATACAACTAAAAGTCTCGTTCCATAAACCATGCATAGATGCCATTAAAATATAGTTTTACAAATTCTTAAATGCAGCATCGCTTCTTCTTGTGTTTGTTCTGTCAGGTGTTTATTATCGAAATGTGTGTTTGTTGTCTGAACATAAAAATCTTTCGTGAAAGTGTTCGTTGTCCAATTTGTTTGCAGTCCGAACTGTTTGTTAACTGATCACCCACTGTATTGTGTTCACTTAGAGGTTCACCTCAGTTAATTGGGGTTCTGCTGTTCTGTAATATGCTGATAGGAAATAAAAATATGCTCTTTAATGACACCAAACTTAGATTAAGAATAAACCAAGTTGTTTATTTGCAAAGATTTTTTAAATTACAAACAAGTATAAAAATATCATCTTCAGGTTGAGCATATGCCATTAATTAATTCGAGTGGTATATGCTCAACCTGAAGATGGCATTTTGAAATGTCAAAAGTATTTGTAATTTTAAAAAATCTTTGCAAGTAAGCAATTTTAATGCTAAAAGACAGTTTCAGCAGTTGATTTTCTATGAAATCTTTTTATTATTCAAATACAGATACCTTCTCTATCTTCTTTATACAGTATTCATTTCTTTTTAATTTTAAAAAGTTAAATTGTGCAAAAAAAATAAAAAAGGTTTTTGCAATATTAAAAACAAGAAATGAGCAAAACAAATGATCATTCATTGCACTCATCTTTTGCTTACAGACAAGTTCAGATTAATGAAAGGATCAGAACAGCTGCCATTACACACATTATTGAATGAAGTGCAGAAGTTTTAACTACATTTTTATACAGATAAATTCCAAAAAAAAAAAAAATAATAATAATAATAAATGAGAGATTTTAGGAGTTAGAATGAATCCTAAAATCTCTCAAGCATTTGTTGAATTTATAATCTGTTTCAAATCGAGTCATTTGTATCCAGTGCCGTAACTAGAGCGGTGCCCATTCACAGGGCGCAGACCCTGGGGGGGTGCAGAAATGACTAGGACCAAGTTTTGGGGCATAGCTACAGAAGCACACACCAGGTGCATAAAAGGCTAGTTAGGGCACTGTTTGTATCCAAACAGATTCTACAATTATTCACATAATAATTATATAAATTAGAATTATTAAATTTGGAAATTTTTTCTTGTATTTTATTTTGGGCATTATATTTGAACCATTTCTTTGGAAGTGGAACAGACTACATAAGATGAAACTTAGGTTATTAGTTTCAGCAGAGGTTATCCTTTGGAAAATTTCCACACACATTTAAAGTGGTGCAAGTTCATTTTTCGTTGTTTCAAAATACAGAGTATAATAATTTGTTTTTTAATGTATTTAAAAACATTAATAAGATATACGATAAAACAAGTTTGGTGGTCATTACTCAATTAAATCGTTAAAAAATTTACTCCTGAAAGGTGTTAGATAGATGACTGTCACGACTCTATCGTTAAAGGAAAAATATGATGTACAGGGGCAAGCCACTACTAATTCCAGGTGGGGAGCATATATTTTTAAATTAAATTAAAAAAAAAAAAAATGCAGCCTGGCATTGTGACAATGTCAGGATAAATAATTGCTTATTTAAATCGACTTCTTCATACAAAATCAACATAGTTCTAGGAGTTAGTGTAACTATAGCGGTATGTAAAGACAGACGGATGGCCGAGAGGTTAATATGGCAGTCTATCAATAGAGGACCCGGGTCTCGGGACGATCTATGAAACAATCGTTTAAAAATGTTTGTTTTATAAAAAGAAATTTATTTTTTTTAAATTTCTTTGTTTCGATGTCGATAAAATAACTAAAATAAGTTATTAAATTATTTAAAAAAAAAAAATGGAGCAAATAACGATTACTCCGTTGGAGGCGCTCCGTACGTTGTCCAGCATGGATGATCTGTAATCAAGGAGAGAGTCAGAAGTTTATGGCGAAGGCAACAAATCAAGTATGTGACAACACTCCAGCAATTGTAATTTGGGTTAATTGCGTTTCCAAATGGTTATTTGACCGATAATTATTATTAAACGATTAAAATATCAAGTGAAATATATAAAGCAATTATATCGAAGGATCTTGTTTCCGAATTATTTACTTCGATATTTACGATAAATTTGTCAACGTTTTTTTTTTTTCTTTTTATCTTCTGGGATCGACACTTCGTAAAATAAAGCAAGTAATCCATTTTTTTAAATATATTATTTCTATATTAAATAATTTATTAATAATCATTTTAAGATTATTTATTATCGTGTCTGCTATTTGTTCAACGGTTGAAACCATTTTGGATATTTTTTTAATGTATTAATTGATTTGTCTCGTCGTTAATTTTATAATTCCTGACTTTATCAAATGTCTATAATGATTTAAATATAAGTAAAAGTAATGGAATTTTGTTGTTGGTTAATATTTATAAAATATTTGGAAAATCTGATTATGATAAACAGATATTACTGTAAATAACATAGATTTAATTATTATTAATAATAGAAAATTATTTTATTAATTCTGATTTGGATTAACGGATGAACCGTTGGTGCCGACGGGCTGCGGCGCCTGAGCCTGTAAACGTTAACGTCTGTAGTTCTTTTTTGTTGATTTATAATAAATTTGATGACAAAATATATTTTATACAATGTCAGGCGGCGGAAAAATAGTTTGCCCGACACGATATTAATTCCCGTATACTTAAACACTACCACAAAATTTTTTAATATTATATCTACCTTTTTAAATTTTAAAATAATAAACATAACTACGTATATAAAGGAATTTGTAATTTATACGTTATATCTAATAAATCGGATGAATAATTATATCAAAAATAATCTGAATTTCTCGTATACAAATATTCAAACGATTTATTTAATTTTCAATGTTTACATCCATAAAAATTAAAATCAAATGTTTTATATTTACATTTTATATACTATTTAATAAATAACAACATGATTAATCATTATTGTTTAATCATGCTATCATTCATGGTATAAAGGTAATATAATAGTTTCTTTTAAATACTCCAATATCATTATTTAATTGTCTTCATATATATATGAAGATGTAATATCAATGAATATGAAGAGAAATATATATATAAGATAAAATGACAAATAATGATATTGGAGTATTTAAAAGA